AAGAAGGGGAAGGGTCAAGGAACATGTGTGTATAAAGAAGGCATGGATAAGGACAATGGGGTGGGAGGGAACTGAATGTGGAAGATGGGGGAGTGTAGTGCAGGGAAGAATAATGGGGGGGGGATGAGGACAACTGTAACTGAACATCAGTTAATTTTTTAAAATACTAAAAAAAAAAAGAAATATAAAATGGTGCAACTGCTTCGGGAGAGAGCTTAGCATTTCCTTTGAAGTTAAATGTAGAGTTACCATATGACCCAGGAATCCCACTCCTAGGTATGCACCCAAGAGAACTGGGAACATATGCCCACACAAAAACTTGTACACAAATGTTCACAGCAACATGATTCCTATTAGCCAAACGGTGGAAATAACCAAAATGTCCATCAATGGATGAATGGAAAAACAAAACATGGTCTATTCATACATTGGAATATTCTTCAGTCATAAAAAGGAATAAATACTGATATAAGCGACAATATGGATGAGCTTTGAAACTATTACACTAATGAAAGAAGGCAGTGACAAAAGGCCACATATTACATGATCCAGTCACATGACCTGTCCAGAGTAGGCAAATCAATAGAGACAGAGAGTGGAGGAGTGATGGCCAGAAAATGAAGATAGACGAGCCAAGAACAAGAAGATTAGGGGATGATGCCTAAGGTGAATATGAGGTTTCTTTTGGGGGTGATAAAAATATTAGAAGTCAACTGTGGTGATGTTTCCACACTTCTGTAAATGCACTAAAAACCACTGAATTGTACATGTTAAATGGGTGTATTTTACGGCATGTGAATGTATCTCAGTAAAGCCACTATGAAAAAACCATCATGCTTGAAGCCATCCAAAGCACAGCACTCCCTGGCCATGGGATTGGTGCCTGAACGTCCCCTGGCCTCAGACTGGATGGGATACCAGGATAGACTCTCACTTCTGGAAGCATTGATGCTGAGAGGATATGAGGCTTGGAACCATGGAAACCAGAGAAGGACAATCAGGAGCTGTTCGGCTCACTGCAAGGACCCTTAAGATGTAATTGATCCAAAGGAATTCTGGATCCAGCCATGCCTGAACTCCTTAAATTGTTCAGTTATGGGAGTTAATAAGCTTTCCTTGTGCCATAAGCTAGTCTGATGAGTGTGGGAGGGTTTCTGAAGTGCTGGTGGAATATGAGGATCTAAAGCCCGGGGCCCGTAATGTCAACTATTACATTATATGGAACAAAGGTCTTCTCAAACACCCTTGTAAAATGCTCTACATCTAGCCCTGGCCAGTGTAGCTCAGTTGGTTGGAGCATTCTCCCATGGACCAAAAGGTCAAGGGCTCAATTTCAGGTCAGGGCCATGTCTGGGTTGCAGATTCAGACCTGGTCGGGGCATACACAAGAAGCAACCAATTGATGTTTCTCTCTCACGTCAATGTTTCTCTCCCTCCCTCTCTCTCTCCTCCTGTTTTTCTCTCTCTGTGAAAATCAATAAGCATGTCCTTAGGTGAGAATTAAAACCAATACATAAATAAATACCTGTGCATCCACCTGTTTTTTGGATATACCATTTTCTATGTATCCATTTCCAACAGACATACATCTTGTATGTGTGCACTTTTGGCTGCTGATGAAAATCTTATTAGTAAAGTTTTTATCCCCCCTCATTCTGAATTATTTCCCTGGGACATATGGGATTAATATATACAGGTTAAGACATTAACAAGTCTTGCAACAACGACCCTCCATGAGTCATACCTCTCTGTCTGCAACCCTGAGAGGCCCCTCCTACACTGATGCTAGGTTTGGCCACTGAACTCACACTGAGCACATTCTTCTTTATTTCTTTGTACAACCGTCTGCAGTTGCATAAAAATAGGCCTCAGGCCAGATTCTGACCACAGGCCTGGAGTTTGATGATTTCCGTTTTAAATCATTGTCAAAGCTGAATATTGGGGCAACAAGAGTAAAGGTGGTCCCAGGTGGTCAACAATGGGAGGCCCACCTGTTCTCTCTGGCTTGGGGAAGCCATGCCATGCCCACCTGGCTATAGGATCACTGAAGGTCCAAGAAATCAGGCAGTTTTAGGTGCTGGCAAACTATGGCCCACAAGCTAAATCTGCCTCACTGTTTGTTTTTGTAAATAAAGTTTTACTGGAACTTCTGACCAAGATGGAGGCATAAGTAGATACACTTTGCCTCCTCCCACAAGCAAAAAGGACAACAACAAATTTGAAAACAAAAAACAACCACAACTGCCAGAAAATTGAACTGTATGGAGGTCCAACAACCAAGGAGTTAAAGAAAAAGCATTCACCCAGACTGCTAGGAGAGGCGAAGATGGGCAGCCAAGGCAGAGAGGACATGCAGCAAGGCAGTGGCTGGACGACTGGGTGGGCGAGGAAGCAGCTGGAGGACCAGGCAGTCCTACATTTGTGTGCAGATAAACTGGGAGGAACAACTGGTGAGCCAGGCAGACCATGAAACCCAGGGTTCCAGCACCGGACAAATAAAGCCTCAAAACCTCTGACTGTAAAAATCTGGGGGTCGCAGTGGTGGGAGAAACTCCCAGCCTCACAAGAGAGTTCATTGGAGAGGCCCACAGGTTCCTTTAATGTACACAAGCCCACATACCTGAGAATCAGCATTAGAAGGGCCCGATTTGCTTGTGGGTGGTGGGGAAAGTGACTGAAATTGGGCCCAGAGCCAAGCAAGTGGCATTACTCCCTCTCGGATCCCTCCTCCACAGATAGCATCAGAAAGCAGCAACATGGGTTGCCCTGCTCTGGCGAATACCTAAGGCTCCACCCCTTAGAATGTAACAGGCACACTGAAACAAAAAAAAAATGGCCCAAATGAAAGAAGAGATCAAAGCTCCAAAAATAGAACTAAGTGATGAAGAGCTAACCAACCTATCAGAGTCAAAAACATCAGTAATCAGGATGCTCACAGAAATGACTGAATATGGTTGCAAAATACAGGAAGAAGTAAAGGCTATGTAAAGTGAAATAAAGAAAAATATACAAGGAACCAACAGTGGAAAAAACCACGACTAAAATAGACGATTTGGAGCACAAGGAAGAAATAAATACTCAACCAGAACAGAATGAAGAAACAAGGATTCAAAAAACTGAGCAGAAGCTTAAGAACCTCCAGGACAACTTGAAACATTCCAACATCCGAATCACAGGGGTGCCAGAAGGAGAAGAGGAAGAGCAAGAAATGGAAAATTTATCTAAACAAATAATGGAGAACTTCCCTAATCTGGCAAAGGAAATAGACTTCCAGGAAGCCCAGGAAGCTCAAAGAGTCCCAAAGAGGTTGGACCCAAAGAGGAACACACCAAGGCACATCATAATTGCATTACCCAAGATTAAAGATGAGAAGAGAATCTTAAAAGCAGTGAGAGAAAAGGAGAGCGTTATCTACAAAGATGTTCCCGAAAGACTATCAGCTGATTTCTCAAAAGAAACCTTGCAGGCAAGAAGGGGCTGGAAAGAAGCATTCAAAGTCACCGAAAGGCAAGGAGGACCTACATCCTTGGATTACTCTATCCAACAAAGCTATCATTTAGAATGGTAGGGCAGATCAAGTGTTTCCCAGATAAGATCAAGTTAAAGGAGTTCATCACCACCACACCCTTATCATTTGAAATGTTAAAGGGACTTATCTAAGAAAAAGAAGATGATCAAAAATATGAACAGTAAAATGATAACAAACTCACAACTATTAACTACTGAACCTAAAAACATAAACAAAAACAAAAACAAACTAAGGAAACAACTGGAACAGAAACAGAATCACAGAAATGGACATCACATGGAGGGTTAGCAGCGGGGAGGGGGAGAGGAGAATGGGGGAAAAGGTACAGGGAATAAGAAGCATAAATGCTAGGTACAAAATAGACAGGGGAGGTTAAGAATAGTACAGAAAATGAAGAAGCCAAAAAACTTATATGTATGACCCATGGACATCAACTAAGGGGGGTGGGGAATGCTGGTGGGAGGAGGGGTGCAGGGCAGAGGGGAATAAAGGGGAGAAAAATTGGGACAACTGTAATAGCATAATCAATAAAATATATTAAAAAATAAAGTTTTATTGGCACATGTCACACCCATTCATTTATACATCATCTATATGGTGGCTTTCACATTACGATGGCAGAGTTGGGTATTTGCAACACAGACTGGCCACAAAGCCCAGCATATTTACTAGCTGGCCCTTTACCACTGCCAAACCCTGGATAGACTTGGATTTGTATCCTGACTCTATTCTTATGGCTTCGGACACAACTTAAATTCTAGAAGCCTTAGTACAAAGCTCACAGAGTTATTCTGAGCATTTACTGCACTCTAGCAGATCCAAGGGGCATATCATCTTCACATTTTGACATTTCTAGAACTGGAACACATCTTAGAGGTAACGCTACCTCACAGTTAGAGGTGGCAGTATCTTTTTTTGTTTCTTAGTGGTCCATAACAATAACATGGCCTCTAGTCACATCTCAGGTGTGATTAAATACAATAAATGAGACACTGTATGTAAAGACCTAAGCATGTGCAGGGCACACAGTGAGCCCTCAGGGTGGCTTGGCTGCTTTCTGTTCTTAGGTCCCCTGTCATGTACATCTCAGCACTCACCCTCACCGTGCACAGTGTCTGGTGGGAAAGACAGGCACCCAACAAAAAGTCACTTATTACGGTTTTTAGTTATGTATTTACAGACTCATATAACTCTCTAAAATGAGATGAGTCTGCTGTCATGCCAGGAAGGACAAATGCAGGCAGCCACCATTCAACTTGTAGGGCAGACCTGAAAAGCAACATGAGAAACTACTGAACAGAGTTTGTGGACTGGCATTTCTGCCCCACCTCTGTGGAAAGTTACGTATCAAGGCTTTGAGTCCTAACAGGGAAGCATCTAACAAGAGAAGTGTTTGGGCCAGAATTTAAGGAAAAGGAGGAGATACCAACGGCAGCCTTGTGGGCTCACGTCCAGGTATCAAGGGTCTTACCTCATCGCCGTATCTCCTGTAACTTACTTCATATAGCACGATCAGACCGTTGGGCTGCTTGGGCTCCTGCCACATCAGATGAACGCCATTGCTCTCGATTTCATGGGTCACGGGGCCAACAATGTCATCTGCCTTGGCTATAAGGTGCAGTGGTTGTTAGAGGCAGGGACTTGACCTGAGATTGAACCCCACCTCCACCACATACCAACCGTCGAGCTTGAGTTGGTTATATAAGTCTCCTATATCCCGTTTCCCTTGTTGGAGAATGAACATGTGAGACTCACCTCACAGGACTGTCCACATACCTATGTCTGTCTGTCTATCTTATGTCCCACTGGTTCTATGTCTCTGGAGAACCCACTACATGTATGTATTTCGTATTTTTTATTTTTTCTTACGGCTCGTGTGCATTTTTTCATGTTTATATGCCAGCTCTGTATGACCAGTGTAACTAAAAATAAAATAGGCACCATAGATGGACCTTGAGAGCATTATGCTACGTGAAATAGGTCACTCAGAGAGACAAGCTCTGTGTGATCTCACACGTAGAATCTGGAAAAGCTGAACACAGAAAGCACACTGGTGGATCCGAGGGGCTGGGTGGTGGGAAAATGGGGAGAGGGTGGTCAAGCGTAAAACTCCCAGTTGTGAGATGAATAATGTGGGGCACGGTGGTTATAGTTAACAGTATTATATTGTGTACTGAGAGTGTAGAACTTAAATGTTCTCACTGCAAAAAATGAAAAAAGAAACAACAAAAACAAAAAGAAAACCCGGTAACAATGTGATCTGATGGCGGCGTCTGCTGCCAGTGTCGTAGCACACACACTGCAATCAGAGAGCACATGCGAGGGGGCAGATCAGCACTCTGTGCACTGTGTTAGGTTAACTTACATGACATTACATGTCAACTGTACCTCCATGAGGCTGGGGAAAACTAATAGTAAATGACAAGTGATAAACAAGCAAATAAGTTAAGGTGGGGAGGGGGCTTCTGCTTGGTTGGCGTGGGTGCCTGGCCCTTGTGAGGTGCCACCCACCTTCGGGCATAGTCCTGGCACTGACGTAGGCTGCCACACTGCATCTTTCCTCGGGGGCATCTTGGTTGCAAGCCTGCAGCTCGATGCGATAGCCAGTGAAGTGGCGCAGGCCAGAGATGACCAGTGACTCTTTGTTAACCACCTTCTCAAAGGGCCGGTGCTCCTCCAAGTTTGTGGGTGCACTGGTAGAGGAGGTATTGGGGAAACCGGGAGCTGTGGGCACGGCCGTCGTCACATTGCCCTCATCACCAAGGGCCCTGCGTTTCCTCGATGGCCTGTCACGACAACAGGACACACAAGCACCACCTGTAAGTACATGCCCCTGGAGAATGCCAGACTTAAAGCAAAGACTGTGGAGCCTGGGATGCAAGGGAGCGGGTGAATTAAAATGTAAATTGCCGAGAATTACAACTCAGAACAGCTGTCAAGAAGTCCTTAGAAGCATCAGAAGTATGGGGAGGCCCACCCAGATAGGGCTGGGGATGCCAGGACCACCGTCCTGACACACAAGGAGCCTGCCTTCAGCGGGCGTGATTCAGGTTTTCATTTTGCAGAGTAACAGACCAGCCAAGGTCAGCGTTAAAAATAAGATGCCGAAAGCCTGTAAGGGTCCAGCTTTTCAGGAAGGCCTGCTGAATGGCATTTGCCCAACACTCTGAGCTACTGACCATCAGTTTAAAAAGGAGAAACGTAGCCCTGGCTGGCGTAGCTCAGTGGATTGAGCGCGGGCTGGGAACCAAAGTGCTCCAGGCTCGATTCCCAGCCAGGGTACATTCCTGGGTTGCAGGCCATAACCCCCAGCAACCGCACATTGATGTTTCTCTCTCTCTCTCTCTATCTCCCTCCCTTCCCTCTCTAAAAAATAAATAAATAAAATATTTGAAAAGAAAAAAAAAAAGGAGATGTCTTCCAATTCTTACAACCTGCTAAGGTGCCTGCAAATTTGAGTGACTCATCCTCAGTTGTGAGCAAAAGAACCTCACCAAGGAGGCTGGTCCCAGTAACTCCAAAGAAACGCCATGCAACTGATACATCCCTCCCCCTTAAAACGCTATATTGAAAAATAAATGCCAGTAGCCTGAAAGTTTAGAAATACATATATACTTTAGAAATACATATATACTTTAGAAATATACCTTACTTTCCAGGAAGTCCCACTGCTTCCCTCTTTCCGCTGCTATGCCGTCTGTTCCCCGAGGCACAGCCCTCACCAAGCATGCCGAGCATGCCGAGTGCCTTGTTCTGTGTGCCAGTGAGCTTTCTTTAAATGGCCTGAAACAGCCTTTCCCACTTATCTGTAACATTTTCTATCTCAGTAAACTGGCTAGAGAGGGCCTAAGCGGGGAAACTTGGGAAAACTGTAACAGCATAAACAATAAAATATAATTTATAATAAAAATTTTCACAGGTAATTGTACGTGGGGTTACTTAGGTTTTCTGGCAATTATGAAAGCAATCTTTTCCCCTGTTTTACATACTAATTATTGCTAGTATATCCATGGGCTTTTGTTTATATTGTCCCTACTTTTCCGAACTCTCAGGCTAAGAGTTTCACAGTTGACCTTGGGTTTTCAAGGAATACACCAGAAGAAACCAGGCCAGCACACTTTTACCATAAGTGTTAGAGGGTAAATATTTTGGTTTTGTGGGACATGTGGCTTTTGTGACAACCACTCCACCTTCCATGGTTTGCAAGCCACCACAGCATGAGCGCGGTGCAGCCATAGACACAATGGGAACTGGCGGGCGAGGCTCGAGCCTCCGTTGTGAACACAGGGGAGCGGCCAGCAGGCAGCCGGCTGGCAGAGGGGTGGCCAGCGTCCGTGCAGCCTGGTGATGGCGCATCTGCAAATACCCATGATTTCATTTCCCACAGTCCGCTCTTTTAAATTCTAATTTCTGCTCTGTGTCTAACCGCACTAGCTGGGTGCCCAGAAACAGGTCAGCAACCGCAGCATGAGGGTCTTCCTGACTCTGACAGGAACGGTTTAAGACGGGGGTCAGCTCAGCTGTTGGCTTCATCTAGACAATATTGACCTTGTTGCCTTTTCCCCTTCCTTTCTCTAAATTTGAATTTCTTAACATTATCAAATGAGCTGCATGCTTTTCCTTACGGGGTCCCCCCTGATGAGTCAGACCGCGTTCTCGGGTCTCCGGACCTTACCACTCTGGGACACACAGCACGTGTATCTCAGTGTGAGTTCTCCTTGTGACACTGGCATTTAACGCTGCCTGTGTGCTGGTCCTGAGGTTTTCTTTCAACGCACCATCTTTGTCAGGTTCTGCTAGGAGGTATTATTTTAGTTTCATAAAAAGAAAGCAAAAACTCGGTAAATTTCCATAGTCTATGCTCTGAAAAAGTTTCCATTATTATAGGAAGAAAACTGCTTTTGCAAGTCTGAACAAGCTTCTCAGTAACACTCTCTAGGCCAACGGTCTTTTTTTTTTTTAAGAAACTTAACATCTTTTCTTAGTCTTTTTTCAAGGTTATAAGAATATTTAATTTTTGTACTTCTTGAATCACCTCTGACAAGTTAAATTTTTCCACCTCACTGAAACTGTGTATTCAAATTGCACCGCACAAGAGAATTCAATGTGTTAAAATCTTCCTTCAACCCTAGTTTTGTCACCTTTGTAAATCCTAGTTATTTGTGTTTTTTCCTCTTTGATTTTATTTACAAGTTAAGCTATATTGATTTTCCCCTTGCTCCCTGATACATTTATATTTTTACATTTTAATTTCTTTCTTAACTCAAGAAACGATGTAAGTCTACTGATTTGCCTCAAAGCCCAGCTTTGTGATATTCTAGAAGTTAAGGTATGTGACTTGCATCTCCATTATTTTTCAGACATTAATGAAAGTTTCCATTTCTGCTTTGACTGAAAAGATATCTAAGTAGTTGGCTTTTAATTACCAGGAAGTAGAGTTTTCTGTTCACACATTTAAAGTCAACTTTCAGTGTTTATTGCCCTGTAGTCAGAAGGTGTGTGGCCAGAGAACAGCCCCTGCTCTGAGGCTTACTCATCAAGATTCTCACTGTGGTCTGTTTGCATGGAAAGACCAGTGACACTCTCAGATGGAAACCAAAGACATATCCACAACAGCAAGATCCAAACATCCCTATAAGTCAGTGGGCCATGAAATTACCAAGGAGCCGATGTGGAATTGACACCTCAACAACCGAGACACAAAATGATCTCATCAAACAGGCAAAATACGTATAGGCCACAGGGATTATCTCCAAGGAGACCACAAGTCAGTCACAAAAGACCCCCATGACCAAATGTCAGCTGGTCCTTCCACTCCCCACAAACACAGCGTTTTATTGCCCTACACCTGTGCGCTAGACCTCTGTGCTCAACCAGGGTACTCTGCGCCCCATCCCAGACCCTGGGGACACAAGGCCTGTCTGGAGACATTTTCAGTCATCACTGCATGCAGGAGAGATTGTGCTGCTGGAATCAAGTGAGGGGAGACCGAGGAATAAATGATAACAATCTAGCCCTAAGTGTCAACAGAGCTGTGGTCAAGAAACTCAGGTGTGGGCCAAGGTCTTACATTTCTAGACCCCTTCTCTGCAAGATGATATCACAAGTGGCTACTGGAGGGCAGATCAGGGCCACACTGAAGCCTAAGTATAAACAAACAAACTCTGCTTAAAGGATAAAATCACCAGGGTGAACAAAGGGGATGAGGTGGATTGAAAGGTACAACTTCCAGTTATAAAGTACATCCTGGGAGTGTCAGTGCACAGTAGGGACACAGTTAATATGCTGTAGTACATATTTGAAAGTTGCTAAGAGAGTAGATCTTAGAAGTTCTTATCAAAAGAGCTTTTGTGACTATGAACTTTTTGTGACTAAAGAAATGTGTGACTATGTGAAGTGACAGATATTCACTAGACTTATTGTGATCATCATTTTGCAATAGGTGCAAATATTGAATCTTTACATTGTACACTGAGAATATAATATTACCTCAGTAAAAATAAAATTGAAAATCCTCTTTTCCTGGCCCCAGTCTGCCTCTCCAGCCTCGCCTCCAATTCCTCCCAAGAGCCCACGGTTTGCTCCACCACCTTGCCACCCCTCCGGCTCTATCCTGCCCATCATCCTCGCCTCCCGGACAACACTGCATCTGAAGCGAACAAATGAAGTTCATTCAAAGGGCGGCGTGGCACACTGTCTTCAGTGGAGCTCAGCGACATGGCACACCTGGTCACACCTGGAGTCCCACACTTGTCACCCAATAAAAATGTTTTATTTCCAGGCCAGTCTTCTCTACTACCAGTTACACATGATTTAGACTCTGGGCACAGGAAGAGTGCCATGCCCACAGTAGGCACTGATCAATGGTCAGTGAGTGAATGCAGGGAGGAAACATGTGGCATCGAGGAGAAGTGTTAGTACAGACTTTCTCCCGAGTTCATGCCCAAATCCCACTTCAGGGTGAAGGCAGTGAAGGCAGTGAAGGCGTGAATTTGTGAAGCACCCAGTCCTGGCAGAGCTGCCCTTCAAGTGCATCAAGCCACAGAAGCCCCTGGGTCTCAAAGGGGCACAGCATGCTTTCTGCCCTGCCTAGTCCACCAGCCCTGTGCTGAGCAGCCCCCAGGGGCCACATGCATGTCCCACAGGCGAGTCATACCTACTGTCCTCGGCATCAGACCCTGAAGAGGATTTTCTGTGAAAACAAAACCAACTGCTTTGAGTACAGACAGAACTTCAGACAGGCCTCTTGCTTCTAACACCCTGGAAGCCACCTTCTGTCCAAGCAGCGTAAAGGCGCCCTGCCATTCACCATGGACCACTTTTTCCCATCACTTGAGCCACATCTTCCCCCACAGGTGTGGAGAACTTAGCAAGAGGGAGAAAACATAGAGAAAATACTCTCAGGGACCTGCCACCTGGGGTTCCCCTTGGGTGTCAAACTTGACTTCATTTAAACTCAGCCATAATCACAACCAACTCAGCCATTTCCCCAAGTCCGGCACCATTTTGTTTTTAGCAAGTAAAATGGTAACTGCCTCAATGCCTGCTGTGTAAAGGAAGGGAGGGAGGGAAGAAGGGAGGGAGAAGGGTACATGTTGATGGATCCAAGGAAACATCTAATATACTTGGATGACAAGTGAGGGTGGAGGTTCGAAGAGACACATTTTAGAATCTTGTTTTATCCCAATGTAAACCTTTTGGGGTTTTGATCTGCTTTGGAAATGGCCACACATTTCTGGATAGCTGTCTGCTAAAGTCTTTAAGGGTGAAGAGGAGAGGTCAAGGGTGAAAAGGCAGAAGGCCATTCAAAGCCCACGTCACACACTTGCTGGGATAACTGGGAGCAAGTTCTCATCCACTCAGAAACATAGGCTTGACCCGAGTGAGTGAGGGAGGTGGCACCTGCTTCAGTGGGCGGCAATAAAAATAAACAAACCAAAGTGATGCAGATGGTGCTGCAGGCCTCAAGGCAGGGAGGCCAGGGATGTTGCTCCACAGCCCACAATGCTCAGGGCAGCCCCACCACCAAGAGCTATCTGGCTGCAAACACCAATAGTGTCAAGGCCAGGACTCCCGGTATGACTCATGGAATCTCACAATCCTAAAGGATAGGGATTATTATTACCTTCATTTTACAGATGAGTAAACAGGCACTGAGACCAGTGAAAAAACCTGAGATTCTGCACCCACCACCGCCCCGCAAAACTTGCCTTTTACCTAAGGGTACTTGTTTGTACAAGTAAAAATGCTTGAAAAGCCTAGAGTCATTTTTACTGCAAACTCTCTCAGTAGATCAAATGTACATTAGCAGGTCCCTCCACGAACTAATGGGAAATGCAACATATTTAAATAGAAGTCTCTGGGTCGGAAGATGCTGTAGAAAGTTCCAGAAGGATGAGAAGCTGACATAGATTTTAAAAAGAGAGAATGCTCTCAGCTTGAGACTTGGTGACAAATCAAGCCTAGGCCATTTCTCACGACTGACATTAGTAACCTTACAAAGTTTGTCTAAGAACTTGGATGGATACTGGAGGCTAGGTATCCATGCTGGAGAGTCGGAAAGCAAAGGTTAACTTTAGAAAAGTTAACTTTTCTAAACTCTCCCCCTCTTTGGTCTTGGCAGTAAGGGTCCTATTGAAATCATGGGCTCTGTTCCTCCATGCAGGGAAGGGACTCAGCACGGACTCTCTGGGTCCCTGCTTCATCTTGTTCCCTAGGTCATGACCCCCGACCTCCAACCCTAAATCAGCAAAAGCCCCTGACCTGGGGACAAAAACCACATTGTGCAGGTAATCCTCAAATGTCTTCCGGAACGAGGACTCCTCCAGCTCCTTCAGAATCTGAGCATCGGTCTTCGGGCAGGAGCAGCACTCCCCAGCAGACTCCTCGTCCTCGCTCTGGTTGTGCTTCTGGGAGCCCTCTGACTCAAACGGTGGGGACCAGGTCCGCGAGGGCAGCTTCAGCCCTGCAGAAGGACAGAGCAGATGGACTCAAATCTCCTGGAAACACACACATACAGAACAAAAGGGACCTGCTCAAGAGCAGCTGGGCACACAGGACAGAGCTTGGAGCCAGGGTCTGGGTTCAAGTTCTACTGTGAAAAGCCCTTGCACGGGAGAGTCCAAACAGTGCCAACTGAGAAGGGGCATGTTCCAGACACTGCCAGACACCACCCTCCCCACAGGGCTGGAGATTTTGCTGGGCAGCCAGGCTTGCCCCTGCCCTCATGGAACTTTCTAGTGCACAGGTGCTGCTGAGAATAGGGAACACACAATAAACTAATAGATCAATAGATCAATAATAGATCAATCTTCCATGAGTCCGATGGCAGGGTCAAAGGAGAGGATAAGGAAGGGAGTGTTCTTTAACATGAGGTTTCAGAGAGAGTGGCTGCTGAACAGTCCTGCATGAAGTACAGGAAGGAGCCGTGCACACATCACAGCATCAGGCCATTCAGACAGAGCACAGAGCATGTGCAGAGGCCCTGAGGTAGGAACTTCCTGGCATGTTGAAAGACACCAAGGACCCAATGTAGCAAAAAGAGGATGTTGGAGGAACAGTGGGAGGAAGGGTTAGAAAAGAACAGGGGCGCCAAGTCACAGTGGAATGAATGAATCAAGCCAATCAATCAACCACATAACTATGGAGGCCAGAAGACAGAGCAGAATTCTACCAGGACTTCTAAGAGGTTTGGCTCAGAGACCCGATGATCACACTGAGCCACCAAACTGTGAAGCACAAATACCACAATTTACAGCTCCTTCAGGAATTCCTAAGTCAGATCAGAGCAGTGGTTCTCACCAGGGGCTGATTTTGCACCACTGGACACTGGGCAAGATCTGGAGGTAGTGCTAGTAGTTGGGATGTGTGGGGGGAGATGGGACTACTGGCCTCCAAAGGGCAGAGGCTGGGCTCCTGCTGGTTGGCCTGTACTTTGCAGGATGGCCTCACCCCAGGGGTCCTGGGCCTGGAAAGCCCACACTGCTGAGCAGAGGAACCCTGGACTAAAGACATGAGAGGAGAGTGGGGGGTGAGGGGGGAATTGTTTGAATCAGCTTAGGAAAGGGAATTAACAAAACAAAAACAACCTCTTCAGATAGCAGTCATGCAAACACAAAGCTGCTAAGTGACACAGCTGGCTGTGTCTTGATCCTTGAGGTCAAACTGCACAGCCACACTTCTGGTGCAGCCCAGAGAATGCACACTACTCCTTAGGGGCAAAGTCCATGACGGCCCTTCGGAGTCTGCTTTCCTGCCACCAGCCTTTGCTGTCTGGTGCCTACTAGTGCCTGCTGAGCAAAGGCACTTCCAGCCTTCCTCTCCCCTTGAATGGGTCCCTTAGACAATGAGCCCTAAGTATCTTTCTATGAATGGTGAGTATCTATTTAGAAGCCCAAGTACTTACACAGCTTTCAGGGCTACAAGGGACTCTTAAAAGTACTTCTTACACTTATTAGTCGACATGGAATAACCTGGCTGGGTAACTGTTAAAAGGCCAATCACGGCATTATGGATAGAAAAAACTTGGGTTTCCTTCATGGCAGGGTAGAGGTTTGGAGGGGGGCATGTTCTGACAATTTTCTGGAGAGAAGGGACTTCTGATCGGGTGCAAGCATAGCTCCTGACACATGTTACCCTTTGTGGTACCCACTCATGACACTTGGTGTCCCACGGTATTCTGTGACTATAAAGCATAATGACATCGCTCGGATGCTCCAATAGAGACAAAGAGTAGATGGTGGGAGACAGGCTGGGGGAGGGGGGTGGGAAGTTAATGTTTAATGGGACAGGGTTTCAGTTTGGGAGGATGAGAAGGTTCTGGAGATGGTGGTGGTGATGGCTGCACAACAGTGTAAATGTCCTTAATGCCACTGAACTGACACTTAAAATGATTAAAATGATAAATTTTATGTCACATGTATTTTATCACAATAAAAAGCCATACAGTTGATAAAACTGTACTGTATAATTTAAATATGCTGAGTTAGCATGTATTCTAAATGTTCTCACCAAACAAGAAAAGATGGATGTGTGCAGTGATGGATGGATATTAAGTAACTACCCTGTTTTTCGGACTATGAGACGCACTCCCCGGCAACGGTGGAAAGGGGTCACGGGTTATTAAATATTTTACCACAGTTTTTGCTTCAAAATTTTTTTTCCTATTTTCCTCCTCTAAAACTTAGGTGCATCTAATAGTCCTAAAAATATGGTAGATGGAAGGGGTTCTTTCACAATGTACATGTACATATGTCAAATCACAATGTATGCTTTAGATATCTTAGAATTTTAACTTGTATGATATTTAAAAGTTAAATGTCAAATAATTAATATCAAATATTAAATAAATATTTACAAAGATCTTACCATTTTAATTTGTAAGCAACCTCAATAAAGCTAAAAAAAACTAATATTGGATAATAAGAAGCCACAACTGGTCATGATTAGTATATTCAATTATTTTGAGTGTGTTAGTAGGTTTATAGAGTTGTGTGTGCATTGAGGTTTTTTAAATTATAGTAAAATACACCTCACATAAAACTCACCATCTTACTCATTTTTAAGCGCACAGTCCAGTGGCATTAAGTCCACTCGCATTATTGTGCAGCCATCCCCACCCTCCATCTGCAGGACTTTCTCACCCTCCCAAACTAAAACTCTGTCCCCATTACACACTAATCTCCTCCCCTCCCCCAGCCCCTGCCCCACCATCTACTCACTGTCTCTGTGGATCTGAGTCCTCTGGGGATCTCCTGTGGGTCACACCATATCCAGCCTCAGAAGGTTTCTTTTTTAATTACACAAACTTTGGGTTCATCAGAAATCAAGCCATGTTTAAATAGTCACATTGCAATGATAGATTTAGAATTCCAGAATAAAAAGTAAAATAAATAAATAAAAAATTTTAAAAAGTTTTTGCTGTTAAAAAAAAAACAAGGAAAAGTTGACAGTTTCCATCTCTGATATGGGACCAGCAGTTCATAGCTTAGGCCACAACTGGGCTTGCTCTCAAGTTATATAAAGCATCTGTGGAAATAAATGACACCTGCGGCCCTCAGCTAAGGCAGGGAATGAGGTCTCAGGCATACAATAAACATAGCCCATTATCCTGCAGCTGGGACAGCTACCAGAGATCACCTGGACTTCTGCCCTTTCTCCCAAAAAGGAGGTAGCTGGTGACAAGCTCAGTGACTTGCCCAGAGCCCTACAGCAGGTCGGAGGTCCAGCCCAGAAACAACCAAGAGTTCCTGGCCTCAGCCATGCCTCTCCAGCAGCCCCAAGGTCAAAGGCTAAAGATCACTAACTCAAAAAAAAAAACAAAACCCTATAGAAAAATGAATACAATCAAAAAACAACTAAAAAAATGACCTGTTTCTCCAGTTTGCTGGAGTCTTTTAAAATCCATTAAAAAATAATTTTTTAAAGACTATTTTTTAGAGAGGGGAAGGGAGGGAGAATGAGAGGGAGAGAAACATCAATGTGTGGTTGCCTCTCGAGTGACCCCTACTGGGGACCTGGCCCACACCCAGGCATGTGCCCTGACTGGGAATTGAATCAGGGACCCTTTGATTTGCAGGCTGGCACTCAACCACTGAGCCACACCAGCCATGGACATTTTAAAAATAAGCTTAAACTAATTTATACAAACTAGTTTGAGGCTTCAAATATTTTTTTCATTTTTTTCTGTAGAAAGAAGGAAACCCATTAAGTAAATAAGATGAAAGGCTGAAGAAAATCACCATCAGTACAAATTTCTAACAGAAAGCACAGGAGGAAAGAGATCATCACTCCTTTAAAACTTGAAGGTCCAAATTGAGGGCTGAAGTCCTTCCCTGACTCTTTCAAGCACCTCTCAGCACACTCGGTTATTTCTAGTCCAGCAAGGAAGGCTCCTGTGGGTGAACACAGCAACATCCCCACCAGGCAGGGTGGGAGAGGAAGAGGGGGAGCAGTGGGGGAGAAGAAGAAAATTCCAGACAGAAATGATGCCAAGATATGGGAAATACCTGGTTTCCACACGAGACCTCAGAGTGTGCTCTCACACTGTTATGTTTAGAAACGTGCATGCGTGTTCCCGTGTGAGATGGAGCAGAGTGTGTGCAAGTCTGCTCTCGAGCACACACTGGGGAACGGAAGAGGAGAGATGTTTCCCTGGAGGTGGAACATTTGCCCACACTCACCTTTCAGGCAGTAATCCAACTCATACAGCTCACTGTCCTCTGCCTGCCTCTCCCAGAAAACCAGGTAGTGTGTGATGTTGCCGTTGGGGTCAGAGGGAGGCTTCCACTTGAGGATGATCTGGGATGAGGAGTTAGAAACCGAGATGGGATCCAGGGGCACGGAAGGATCTGGAGAGGTAAAAGAAAACAGGTCCCCTAAGAGGAGGGAGCAAGCCATAGGGAAGGTGTGAGGGGATACACAGGTCAGAGAAACCTAAAGGTGTTTGCTGCAGTGATGTGCAGCATCCGAGAAAACTGGAGGCACATAGAGTACCAGCCCAGAAGGGACAGCAGGTATGGAATCACAGTCCATCCCTGCCACAAACCACATGGATCATGTGGGCATTCGTCTGCCCCTCCACTCACCCAGCTCCAACACGGCCCAGGCTCTCTGCCTGGGGCACTGGAAAGATGCTGGGGAAAGGATGTGAGAAGAGATGAACTCATATTTTCTGGTTAACACCCCAAACTGAACCCAGTCACAGGGCAAATTTTGGCAGCTAGATGCCATTCACCTGGCTGCACAAAACCTTCCTGCAAGAATGGAGGTGGCTGAGTGCGTCCTGAGGAACGACACACAGGACACTGTGTACAAACACCTGGGAGCTGGAAGTTTCCAGAAATTCTACATCCTTTGGTGTTGTTGGAGGGTACAGGATGAGAGGGCACTCGCTGAAAAAGCTGGGACTGATTCATGAAGTTCGTGCTCTACCATACAGGACAGGGTTTCTCACCCACAGCACTGCTGGTGTGCGGCTGTCCTGGGCACTATGGATGCAGAGCAGCAGCCCAAGGCTCCCCTCACTCGATGCAGTCACAACCAAAACTGTCCCCAGACCTCATGAAAGGTCCCCTGGGAGCAGAATCACCCCCAACTGAGAACCACCACTACAGGAGAAGTATAGATACAACTGAATTATTCCGTAATAACCCAACACCCAAAAAAACAGGGATGGGAAAGGTGGTGCAGGGATGGGATGAGGATGGGGGATAAGGAAAAATGGGGAAAGGTTGATGATTGTTGAAGCTGAGATGGTTCATGGGGTTAATTTTTCTTTCTACTTTTGTGAGTATTTGAAAATTTTCTGCAACAGAAGAAGAAATATATTTATACCCCTCCGCTGGCTGGCTGCTACTGCCTTGTCCTCTGAAATGGTAAACCTCAGCACTAGCTCTTCCAGAAGGCGCAGCCACACACGGAAGCACTTCACCGGCCTGTTAAAGGCAATACATCTGGTTCCTGCGCAAACCCCCAAGCCGCACAGCATACTCACTGGTGGCATCCGTCTGGACATAGATGATGTCGCTCTTGGCCCCATATGTGCGACGCTCATCAGAAAAGGTGACCAAGGTCTTCACGAAGATGGCATACTGGGTCCAGGGCTTGAGGCCCCGCATGAGCCACCCGGGGTGGCTCTGGGACTTGGGGTCATTGGACCTCACAGGCGGGTCGATGTCCACGACTGTCCAGCTGTTGGATCCACATGCATCCTGCCCATCGAACTCCGTCACATTCTGGTAAGGGCTTTCAAGGTGAAGGAGAAGACATTACCATTTTCGGCTATCACTCTGAGGACCAGAGATGGGGCCGGGGAAATTATACCCTATGGGCCTGCATCTTTTCACTGACAGCTTTATGCCACAAGGGAAACCAGCATGGCAACAGCCAAAGAGAAAGGAACCACCTCCACTGATTCCTCAATGATAATATTTAATAGTAGTAACTACCAATATTTAATAACACATTTTATTTAGTGTTATGTAATATATACTGTTTAATTTTATTATATAGTACAGTATACATAATATTATATACCCTGTACATGTAATTACAGTAATAAATATCACATAATGTCTAATAAGAAATAATATTTAGTAGTAATTAATGCTGTTTCCCAGTTACAACAGTGATGACGACGACCCTGACAGCAGCTACGGCAGGAGTTGCTGGTGAGGTTCAAGCGAGAGAACACAAGCAGCCCCTCAGCAACCGCCCGGCACACAGTCAGTCCTGAGAAACGGGGTCACCATGGATGCTAACGCCAAACCCGCGCAGGTCAGAGAACGTGGGCACTGGGGGAGCTGTGGTGGGCGGGGCGCCAGCAGCATGCACAGCACCCTGAGCCAGACACTTAGATCAGTTCGAATGCTCAACTTCGTTATGTGCCTTTCCCGCAATTCTTCTGTTCTCTCCAATGGTTTCGGTAAAGATCAAATTTTCCTACGTGGTCAACAAAGCCAGGTAAAGACTCTCCCTCCATTACTTCTCTGGCCTATTCTCCCATCAGGCCTTGCATTCCTCCTTCCCACCTGTCACTTCGTTAGAGGTGTCGGCTCTCTCCTTTTCTTGAGTTTGCTCCTCTGGCCCTTCTGACGTTGTGACTCTGGCCCTTGCCTGAGATTTCAGGCCCTTCTCATTCCTCCAGGGAAGCCCTCCCTGACCTCCAGGGCAAGTCCACTCTCCATGACCCTGCCCCTTGAAGCACTGTAACAGTCGTCATTTTATTTGTTTATTAAATTTCTAGGGGGTAATACTGGTTAATAAAACTACATAGGTTCAGGTGTACAATTCTACAATTCATCTCTACACTGTATTGTGTTGAACACCCAAAGACAAGTCTCCTTCCATCACCATTTACCCCCCCTTTACCCCCTCCTACTTCCGCCAACCCCACTTTCCCTCTGGTAGTCACCATACTGTTCACTGTTTCTATGAGATTTGGGGGTTCAACTTTTTCACTGATTCCTCCAACACCCCTCCCCTCTGACAGATGTCAGTCTGTTCCATGTGTCCATGACTCTGATTCTACTTTGTTCATCAGTTTATTTTATTCATTACATTTCACATATGAGTGAAATCATATGGCACTTCTTTCTCTGACTGGCTTACTTCACTTAGCATAGTGTTCTCCAGATCCATCCATGCTGTCACAAAGAGTAAGATTTTTATTTTTTTTTTTAGGGCTGAGTGGTATTCCATTTTGTAAATGTGCCACAGCTTTTTTAATCCACTCATCTACTGATGGACACTTGAGCGGCTTCCAAATCTTGGCTATTCTAAATACTGCTGCAATGAACACAGAGATGCAAAAATTCTTTCCAATTAGCATTTCAGGTTTCTTTAGGTATATTCCCAAAAGTGAAATCACTGGGTCAAAACATTTTCAATTGTTGAAGTATCTCCATACTGCTTTCCACAGTGACTGCACCAGTCTGCATTCTCATCAACAGTGCACTAGGGTTCCCCGTTCTCCACATTGTCGTCAGTACTTGTTGTTTGTTGACTTATTGATTATAGATGTTCTAACAGGTATGTGGTTTTAATTTGCATTTCTCTGATGATTGGTGATATTGAGCATTTTTTCATGTCTATTGGCCATCTGTATGCACTCTTTAGAGAAGTGTCTATTCAGGTCCTTTGACCATTTCTAATTGCATTATTTTGGTATTGAGTTTTATAAGGCCTTTATAAATTTTGGACATTAACCCCCTTATCAGATGTATCATTGGCAAATATGTTACCCCACCCAATAGGGTTTTTTTCCATTTTGTTGGGTTTGTTGGCTATGCTAAAACTTTTTTAGTTTGATGTAGTCCCATTTGTTTATTTTTCTTTTGTTTTCCTCGTCCAAGTGAATATATCAGAAAATATAATGCAACAAGAACTGTCCTAGATTTTCTGCCTATGTTTTCTTCTAGGATTACTATGGTTTTGAATCTAACATTTAAGTCTAATCTGTTTTGAGTTTATTCTTGTGTATGGTGTAAGAAGGGGGTCTAGTTTCACTTTTTTTGCACTGAAATTGCAGATACTGCCCTATTTTACTAACGTCATTTATTGAGTAGACTAGTTTTACCCCATTGTATAATCTTGTCTATTTGTCACAAATCAATTGATCATATAGGTATGGGTTTATTTTAGGGGTCTTTATTCTGTTCCAGTATGTTTTAATTACAATGGCCTTGTAGTATAGTCTGATTTTAGGTAGTGTGATTCCTCCAACTTTGCTCTTTTTTCTCAGGACTGCTGTGGCTATTCCTGGTCTTCTATGCTTCCATATAAATTTTTGGAATATTTGTTGTAGTTCTGTGAAATACGACATTGGTACCTTCATAGGAATTGCACTGAATCTATAGGTTGCTTTGGCTGGTATGGACATTTTAATGACATTAATTCTTCCAATGCATGACTTCAGTATGTGTGTGCTTCCACTTATTTGCATCTTCTTTAATTTCTTTCTTCAGTGTCTTACAAATACAAGTCTATTACATCCTTGGTTAAATTTATTTCTAGGGATTTTGCTTTTCTTGATGCAATTGCAAATGGGATTGTTTTCTTCATTTCTTCAGATAGTTCATTACTGGCATATAAAAAAAATGCAACTGATTTCTGAAATGTATTTTCTATCCTGCTACTTTACTGAATTAATTTATCATTTCTAGTAGTTTTTTGGCTGAATCTTTAGGGTTCTCCATATACAGTAGCACATATAGTTTCTTCCAAATGTCTTCCTTTACAATTTGGATGCCTTTTACATCCTCTTCTTGTCTGACTGCTGTGGCTAGGACTTCCAGTGCTACATTGAATAACAGTGGTGAAAGTGAACACCCTGTCTTGTTCCTGCTTCTTAAGGAAATGCTTTTGGTTTCTGCCTATTGACTATGATATTCACTGTGGGTTTCTCATGTATGGCCTTTATTATGTTAAGGTATGCTCCCTCTATTGCCAAGTTCCTGAGATTTTTTTTATAGTAAATGGATGCTGGATTTTATCAAATGCTTTTTCTGCATCTATTGATAATCATATCAATAACCACAATCATGTGGTTTTTATCTTTCGTTTTGTTTGCATGGTGTATCATATCCCTTGATTTGCAAATATTGTACCAAGCTTGTATCTCTGAAATAAAACCCACTTGATCATAGTGTATGATCTTTTTAATGTATTGTTGAATCCAGTTTGGTAATATTTTGTTAGGGATTTTAGCATTTATGTTCATCAGATATATTGGCCTGTAATCTTGCTTTCTCTGAAGACTCTGTATCTAGTTTTAAAATTAGAATAATGCTAACCTCAAAAAAAATGAGCTTGGATGTGCTCTCCTCTTGAATTTTTTTGAGTAATTAGAGAAGGATAGTTGTTTGTTCTCCTTTCTTTTTTAATCCTCACATTATGACATTTTGTTCATTGCTTTTAGAGACAGAGGAAGGAAGGGGGAAAGAGAGAGAGAGACAGACAGACAGACAGACAGACATGGATATGAGAGAAAACACGGATGGGTTTGATTAGTGGTCTCACACACATGCCCTGATCCGGATCAAACCTACAACCTAAGTATGTGCCCTGACCAGGAATTGAACCCACAACCTTCAGTGTACAGGATGATGCTCCAGCCAACCAAGTCATACCAGTCAGGACTTGTATTTGTTCTTTACTGAATGCTTAGTAAAATTCTCCCGTGAAAACATCTAGTCTCAGATTTTTCTTTGTTGGGAGTTTTTTGCTTACTGCTTCAATTAATTGTAACTACCTATTCAGACTTTCTGATTCTTCTTGATTCAGTTTTGGAAGATTGTATGTTTCTAGGAATTCATCCATTTCATCTGGATTGTCCAATTCGTTGGTATATAGTTGTTTGTAGTACTTTCTTAGAAATTTCTATGCTATCAGTTGTTACTTTTCCTTTTTTCTGATTTTTTTCTGATTTTATTTCTTTGTGTCCTTTCTCTTTTTATGCTTGATGAGGATGGTTAAATGTTTCTCAATCTTGGTTATCTTTTCAAAGAACCACATTTTAGTTTCACCGATCTTTTGTATTTTTTTAGACTCACTTATTTCTGCTCTGATCTTTATTAATTTCCTTTCTTCTATTCACTTTGGGCTTTGTCTATTGTTTATTTGAGTTTTTCTTGTTTTATTGAGGTAGGCCTGTAAAGCTATGAATTTTCTCCTTAGGATTGCTTTCATTATGTCCCATAGATTTTGTGTTGCTGTGTTCTCATTTTCATTTGTTTCAAGATATTGTTTGATTTCTTCCTTGATCTCTTATTACTAACCCACTCATTGTTTATTAACATGTTATTTAGCCTCCAAGTCTTTTTTGTGTTTTTCAGTTGTTGTTTTTTTTATTGTGATTGATTTCTAGCCCCATGCCATTATGGTCAGGGAAGATGAATGACATATCAATCTTCTTAAATATACTGGGCCTTGTTTTGTGCCCTATCATATAGTCTATCCTACAAATGTTCCATGTGCACTCGAAATTAATGTGTATTCGTTCTGCTGCTTTCGGGCAAAATACTCTGAAGACAGCAATTAAATCCATCTGATCTAGAGTGTCGTTTAAGGCCACTATCTCTTTGTCAACTTTCTGTCTGGAAGATCAATCCACTGATGTCAAATATGTGTTATGTGATGTCAAATGATGTCAAATGGGTGTTAAAATCCCCTCCTGTCTATATTCCTTTTGATCTCTCCTTTACATCCATCAAGATTTCCTTCACATAAATACTTAGGTGCTCATGTGTGGGGAGCATAAATGTTTACAAGGATTACATCCTCTTGTTGGTTTTCTCCCTCTATTATTATGTAGTGTCTTTCTTTGTCTCTTACTATAACTTTGGTTCTAAAGTCTATTTCATTAGACATTAAGAATTGCTGGCTTGTTTTTTTTTTCCATTTCCATATGCATGAAGTCTCTTTTACCATTTCCTCACTTTTAGTCTGTGTGTATCTTATGTTCTGAGGTGGGTCTCTTGTATCCAGAATATATGTGGGTTTTGTTATCTTACCCATTCAGCTACCATGACTTTTGACTGGAGCATTTGAGCCATCTACATTTAAAGTGACAATGGATAGGTATGTGTTTATTGTCACTTCATTGTTTTAACTTTGCTACTTTTCTTCTTTTCTTCCTCCTCCTCCCTCTCCTACTTCTCCTTCCCCTGCTTCCTCTTGAAGAAGATCTTTAACATTTCTTATAATACTGGTTTGGTGGTAACAAACTCCTTTGGCTTTCTCTTATCTGGGAAGCTATTTATTTCGCCTTCAACTTCAAATGATAGCCTTGTTGGGTAATGTAGCTTTGGTTGTAGGTCCTTGCTTCTTATCAATTTGAATATTTCATGCCAATCCCTTCAGGCCTGAAGTGTTTCTGTTGAGAAATCAGCTGACAGTCTTATGGAAGCTCCCATGTAGGTAACTAACTGCTTTTCTCTTGATGCTTTTAAGATTCTCTCTTTGTTTTTAACCTTTGCCATTTTAATTATGTTTTGTCTTGGTGCAGGCCTCTTAGGGTTCATCTTATTTGGGACTCTGCACTTTCTGAACTTGTGTGTCTTTTTCCTTCACCAGGTTAGGGAAGTGTTCAGTCATTATTTCTTGAAATGGATTCTTGATCCCTTGCTCTCTCTCTTGTCCTTCTCATATCCCTATGATGCAGATCCTATTACTCTTCATGTTGTCCCAAAGGTCCCTTAAACTATCCACAATTTTTTTTAATTCTTTTTTTCTTTTTGCTGCTCTGATTAGATATTTTCTGCTACCTTGTCTTCCAATCACTGATTCAATCCTCTGCTTCATCCAACCTACAGTTTATTCCTTCTAGTGTTGTCTTCATTTCAGATATTGTATTCTTCATTTCTGATTGGTCCCTTTTTATGGTTTCTATGTCCTTTTTCACGCTGTTGTAATTTTCACTAAGTTCCTTCAGCATCCCTCCAACCTTTTTTTTGAATTCCATATCTGATCCATAGTTTGACTCCATTTAATGAAGCTCTTTTTTCTGACAATTTCTCCTTTCATTTGAGGCATGTTTCTTTGTCTCCCCATTTTGCCTGCTTCTTTGTGTTTGTTTCTATATATTAGGTAGATCTGCTATGACTCCCAGTCTTCATGGGGTAGACTTATACTGTAGGTATCCTGAGAGACCCAGTGGCACAGTCTCCTTGATCACCTTGCCTGGGTTTTCCAGGAATACCCCTTGTGTGGGTAATGTGGGCCCTCCTGTTGGAACTGAATTTTGGTGCTTTTGGACCATGCTGGCTGTGAGGATCAACCCCAACCAGTGTACAAGCTACAGTTCAGGTGCTGACCACATGAAGCAGAATTCGCCTCTGTAGGGTCCTGTGCCTGCCGAGATCCCCCTTTGGATATGCCTCTCATGAAGGTAATTGGATGTTGCTCTGATGTGGTCTGAAGCTAGCCACTGTGTGTGTTGGTTCTGCAACCTCTTGGGATGGACTCTGGAGCGGTCCAATGTCAGACACTGCCTGTTACTGGCCCTGGGCAACCTTTCTGATGCTACAAAGCAATCTGCAGTTGTTGCTGTTTCTGTTAGGCCTCAATATGTGCAGGGAGGACCAAACCACACACCAAGGGCACTTTTACCAGCACTGGGTCCAGAGGCAAGTCTGCAAAAGTCCCAATGCACCCTAAGATCCACCTCTTCCTGTCTCTGCCTGCCAGCTGCCTGTTACACTCAGTCACTGGCTGTAGTCGAGTTGTCTAAGACAGGCGAGTCACCAGAGAGGGCCGAGTGGTGTTCACCAGGCTGAAACACGTTCGAACTTGGTGCCAATGCTGGGTGTGAGGTCACTCAGCAAATATCCCAGGGTACACCAAGTCTAGCTGCCACCTGCTGGGTGGTTAAACACCTTTGTGGTGGGGCCGAGTCTAGGAAATCATCAGAGTGAGGCCAGTAGAGTTTATGCGGCCCAAATAGACCAAGATTTGGCCCTATGATGGGAGGTCTCTACACAGGTTGGGCATGTGAGAAAAAAAATGGCCCCTGTACTAGACCCACACAACTCAGTCTGTCCAGAGTTTGCCCAAGCTCAGCTGGGGGAGAGTTGAGAGGATAGGGCTAGTAGATCCCCCACGAGATGGAAACATTGGTTAGGCTTTGGAGAAGTTGAGGGTCATGGCCTTTACCCCACAGCCACACAACTCAGGCTATCCCAGATTCTGCCCAGACCTCAGCAGGGCGGAGCCACCAGGACTAGGGATGGTGGGACCAGTGGATCTCCCATGGAGGAGATACATCACAGGTCAAGTTCACAGGAAAGTGGGAATAGCTCCACCCCAAAGCCACACAATTCAGTCACTGACACCCCCTGAGTCTGTTCGGACCTCTATGCCTTGGCCCAGGCAGCTGACTCCTCAGCAGGGGTGGATTACAGGAAGCCCAGAGAATGAAGCTATTGCATTTCCCCAGGCTGATGCTGTGTGGAAGGGGGTGCTCCACCCAAGAAAGATGGCATCTGTGGTGTGGGAGAGGGCTCAACACAGGGATCCTGGCAGCTATCTCTTTAGCTTTCTCCCCTGAGCCATGAACTCCCGTCTCTCCTCAAGCAGCTCTACTCTACTCCACCCTCCCTCTGACAGAGCCCAGGGTCAGTGGCCGTGAATGACATTTTGTGTGTTGCCCTTTAAAAAGGTACCTGTGTCTCTAGCACAATGCTGTCAGGCAGAATCCCTGCTTATTTTCAAAGTCAGGTATCCTGTGGGCATCTTTTCCCAGCTCTGGTGCTCTGGCTTGGGAAGCCCAGCTTGAAGTTGAGACCCCATACTTTTCAGGGGGAACCTTTGCAGCTGAAATATCCCTCCAGAATCTCAGCTGCCAGCCAGGAGAGTGGAGCCAGCTCTTTTCTCATCTCTGCCCATCCCACCTGTCTTGGTGTGGCTTCTTCTGTAAATCCTTGGTTATGAGACTTCTCTTCAGCTAGTCTCCAGCTGGTTTTTCAGGTTGTTGCTCTATATTTTTGTTGTAATTCCAGTTTGGTCCTGGGAGGCCGTGAGTGTAACATCTACCTACTCCACCACCATCTTGGATCTCCCTCCCACAATTTTTTTAATGTTGGGAAAATACAAAATAGGCAAACAAAATGAAATTTTAAAAACTATTAACCACACTGAATGACTTTTCATTGAGCAGAGCTGCTGAGATGTACATATAAAAGGCAAAATGGAATATTGCTATGGGAAATGGGCCAATATGGACCTCTGGATGAAACCTGTCTTCTTTAATTACTGGCTTTTCCACAAGTTTATTCCACAAGCAGGAAGAAGATAGAGAGGAGCCTTAGAGGGGAAGAGTGAGCACACATGTAACACCCACACCTCTTCACTCTCTACTTACGCCTCTTTGTAGAAGAGCATGAACCCCAGAAGGTCTCGGAAGTCAGGGGGCCAGTATGGCTCCCACTTGAGCAAGATCTTGTCAAAAGTTGTCCGAATGTAAGAAAATTTAAGCAATTCATTTTCACCTAGAAAAGTTTTTTTCAAAAGGCAGTATCAGTATTTCATCATTTGTTTCAGCCCAAGGCAGTGATCCTACTCTCCCAATAATGTCCACGAAACGGGAAATGTCAACCTGCTGTTCCACGTCACCCAGGATTTGAAGGCAAGAACTGGTCATGGCAGCTGGCCCTACTGCCAGTCAATTACCTGGCCAGATACTCAGCTGAATAATAGCAGTTGGCACCAATGCAAAAAGAACAACAGGCCAATAGTTAGGGATTTTTGAGATACCTGACACAGTTTTGTCATGCACATGGACTTCCAAGCCTGACATGTCAGAAGATACAACTCCAGTGCAAACAAGTGCACATTAAGTGAATTTAATGAGTGGACAGGTCATACCTCAGAGAGACAATTCCTTAGCTCTCCCATGCCTTGGGAAGGGTAATTTCCTCTGCCTGGAGTGCAAATCTTCCCTTTATGCTAACCCCAAACTCACTATTCCTCCCCAGAACTCCCACAACATGGACCACATCCTGCTGTAAGGAATCAAGTTCATCTGAGGGTATTATGGAATCCCTGGCAGCTCAGTAAGTAGGTATCTCCTCAAGAGGGTGCCTGTCACAGGAAAACTCCTGTGGTCTGACAGTCCCCAGTTGTAGCAACTACAGGACCTGCTGTAGCATTTGAGCCAAAGTCATACATAAAGAGGTGTCTTTCTTTTTTTTCATTCATTCAATGTTTATGTGGCATCTTCCAGTATCAGGCACTGTATCTGGTGCAGTAGATACGGAGACAAGATACACACCTGTCCTCAGTATTTAAAAAGCCAATCACACAAAGAGTTGTTTAAGCTCACTAGAAGGACACTGATAACCCCTAGGGGCCAGCATGGTAAGTGAAGGGAATGGAAGCCAAATTATCTGGTCCACAGGTTGGAAGTAACAGGGTATCACCACTTACAGGATGCCTGGTCCCCATTGGTCTTCAAGGCGATGTCATTCCTCTCCTGGCGCCCCTTTGTTCCCGAAACTTCTTCCATTTTATGAATTTCTGACAAGCAGAGTTTGGGATTATAGTGGAAGAACAGTTTCCCCTGAGTGATGGTAAGGTTGTGCTTGCTCCAGTCCCATAGCTGCCTTAGGTTCTGGTTGTCTAAGGCATAGAAAGAGTAGTTCCTATGGAAACACACACACCTAGTCATTCATCAATTTATAATCTCCAACTCCAAGATGGTGAGGCTGAGGCTGGATTTAATCTTATTCAGCACCACAGATCCAGCCCTAATCCCTTGCTTATCATACACTCAGTAAGTATTGAATGAGGGGTAGTAGGGGCAAGGGAATTTGAGGGAGTGTTCATGGCCAGGCAGGTGTCTGAGCTCCATACTGTGGGGATGGAAAGGAAGACTGTGATGGATTGAGATATGGGTTTCACAGAGAAAAAAGAATGAAGACAAGGGGTACCTGGGCTGGGCCCAAGAAAGAGCAAAGTAGCCTGCTCTGGCCAACAGGTGACAGGAAACAAGACTGGAGAGCTGCAGTGGGCCAAGTCCTCTAGCATACTACACACCAGACCAAGACTAAGAACACGGGACCTTCCTTGGTAACAGAGAGGAGCCATTGACAGTTTCATAACAGCTATCTTGCTTAGACCTGTGCCTTACAACTACTAATGGGCCACCAGCATGTAATGGATAGGAGAAACAAAGCATCTAGGCCTGTGTTGCACAATTCAGAAACTATTAGCCACCTTTAGCTATTGTGCACTTGAAATGTGGCCATTCTGAACTGAACTGGAAGTGAAAAAAAAAAACAAATTTTGAAGACATAGCATGCAAAAAAGAAGAATGTTAAGGATCTTCTTTGTTATTGCTTATATTGGTTGCAAGTTGAAATGGCATCTTAGATGACACAGGTTAAGTAAAATGCATTACTGAAATTCATTTCATCTATTTCATTTTAAATTTTTAAAATTTGGCTACTGGAACATTTCAAGTCATACATATGACTTGCATTATATTTCTGTTGGACAGCACAGGCCTAATTCTAGGATGCCCAGCTAGGAGATCATTGGAATACTACAGATGGAAGGTCTAAACATCAACAAAAAGGCAGTTTATGGCAGAAAAATCAGCATGAACTGGTCAGTGATTCAAGAAGGTAGTCTAAACAATTCTGTGGAATGGCTACTTGAAATGCATGTACATTCTCTCTTTTCCCTTGCCTACACAGACTGAAAGAGGTAAATATTCACTCTCCCAGACTCCCTTGCAGCTAGAAGCAGCCACATGACCCAGTTCTGGCCGAGATACAGACAGAATCAGTATTGAGGGTGAGAGTGTGGGAGGTTTGAGGTAAGATCCTTTTGAAGAGTCTCAATTGGCATATACCTTTGTTCCTTTCCTCTATTCCTGCTGGTTCTACAGACATAAGGTTGGGTGCAAGGCAGTCATCTTGTGACCATGAGGAACACAAAGATGGAAAAATCCTGGGTCCTTTCCTTGATGGAATTTTTGAATGGCCTTCCTCTGACTTCTGGCCCAGGAGTCCAACTCAATCTTCATGAAACATGGCTAGTGTGGATTTCTGTTGTTTCACTAACTGAAAGAGGGTTAGTGAGACTTCAAGAGGAGCAAATCCAAGAAATTTGAGGGTGAATTTGCTGAATTTGAGGCTGCTGAGGGTCACCTGGCTGGAGACAGACTTGGTGGTAAGCCACGGCTAAAAGTCTCAGCACTAGAAATCACTAGAGAGATGGCCAAGTCTGGAAGCCCAGGATACCAACTTGCAAAAGGGAGCTGGAAGAGGAATTAGGAAGGAGATCCAGGAGGCCAGCAGAGTATCTTGGGGAGTCAGAACCCTAACGGCCAGAGGAGATGAGATTTCATGGAGGAACAGGTGCAGTCAACACCAATGGGACCAGGACATGAGAAGATCCTGGACACAGAAGTTGAAGGGTCCTGGTCAAGCCTGTACTCCATCTCACAGTGAAGTCCAGAGAGCTGGATGCCCTGTTCTATTCTAGCTGGTGCCCCAGGAGGGCACACAGTTAGGTTGTTCGCCCTGCGACTTCCAACAGACTATAAGACAGGCATCACTTTCCTTGGCTGGATCTTCAGACATGGTCCTACACACATTCCTTCCTTTCAAGGGGCACCAGGCACATCCTCCTAATAGACGTTTTTGGGATTTAAAAACCCCTAAGTTACAGCATGGTGACTGTGGCTAACAATACTGTACTGAATATTGGAATAGGTTTTAAAGCTTCTCATTGCAAGAAAAAGTAATGTTTTTGTTGCTGTGTATGGTGATGGATGTTAATGGGACTAACTGTGGGACCATTTCACAATGTGTACAAATATGGAATCACCATGTCGTGCACCTGAAACTAACATAATGTTATACGTCTTGAAGAACAATTAAAAAAAAATGTTATATGTCAATTATATCACAATAGGAAACCCCTAAGTTTTTCTATTTTCCCTTCAGTTTTATTGCAATATAACTGACATCTAATATTAATTAATTTTATGTGTACAATATAGCAATTTCACATATATATTACAAAATTATTATAACACTAAGTTTAGCTAACATCCATCACCTCACACAGTTAAAAATATTTTTTTTCTTATGGTGAGAAGTGTTAATACCCACTCTCTTAGCAACTTTTAAATACACGCTACAGTGTTGCCAACTGCAGTCACCGTGCTACACACAGCACGTCCCCAGCACTCATTTCATACCTGGAATTTTGTACCTTTGAACACCTTCATCCACTTTACCCATCCACTCCCCAAGCCCCAACCTTGCCTCTGGCAACCACCAATCTGGTTTCTGTATCTATGATCTTGCTGGTTTTATTGGGTTCTACATGTAAGTGAGATCATACAGTATTCACCTTTCTCTGATCTGTTTCATTCAGCATAATGCCCTCTAGGTCAATCCATGTTGTCACAAATGGCAGCATTTCATTCTTTTTTTACAAATAATATGCCTGAATAATGTTCCCTGTATGTGTGTGTATACATGCACACACACACACTTTCTTCATTCATCTTGTCTTGACAAAACCCCTAACTTTTTATAACACACAAACTTCCTAGTTACTGCCAGACCATAGCCACAAAACCAGGCCCACATACCCGATTTCCAAGGTATCCCCCCGAATCAGACGTAACTTCCGAAAGAAGGAAAGTGACACAAGAGCATAGGAGCGGCGGATTTTCAGATACCCTGAAATTTCTTCAATGAGGCCAAGGTTGGACTCTAGTTCAGCTGCCAGGTTGTCTATGGAAAGGAGAGCATATCAGTGAGCTTTACACAAATATTTTAATCTTCCCTTAATTCCCCATAGTAAGGAATTAAATCACATGCTGACATGTCCTGCTCAAAATGAATCATAATTAAAAGACAATCCAAAGCCCTTACCATGGGGTCAGCAAGTCCCCCACCTTGTACCCTGCTCCCCTGTTCCAGACGTGTGGAGCCCCACACCACCCTCTCAGCACACCAGGTGCGCTCCTGCCTCAGGGCTTTGCCTGCTGCCTCCTTTCCTCAGAACATCACCCTCCCACCCATGTTCTTGGTGTGTTAACACCACCAACTCGAAACACAGCTCCCCTAACCAGAAACTTCTAAAATAGCAACCTCTTATTGTGTGTCAGAGGTCTGCAAATTCTAGCCGAATGGCCAAGCCCAGTCTGCTTTCTAAATAAAGTTTTATTGGCACAGAGCACACCCATTTGTTCACATATTCTCTACAAGGGCAGAGTTGAATAATTATGACAGATACCCTCTGGCCTGCGAAGCTAAATATATTTATTATGTGGTCCTTTATAAGAAAAGGTTACTCACCTCCCTCCGTTATCCCACTTTGCTTCCTTTGTAGCAGGACCACTACCTGAGTATATGTCCTAAATTGATTTGCTTTTTTGCAAGATTCATCATGCAAAGACTGCCTGATGTTTTGCAAATGTTTGCTGAAGAAATAAACAGAGAAATGTCTTTTGGCCTGCAATGGTATTTCTGGACACATGGCCCCTAGCTCTGAAATAGGGCATGTTGCCTGCTTGTTAAAATCACAAATTCCCACCCTGGCTGGTGTGGCTCAGTTAGTTGGAGCATTGTCCTGTACACTGGAAGGCCGCATGTTCAATTCTCAGTCAGGGCACATTCCTAGGTTGCAGGTTCCATCCCTGGTCAGGGAACGTATAGGAAGCAAATGATCAATGTTTTTCTCTCACATCGATGTCGAGAGAGAGAGAGAGAGAGAGAGAGAGAGAGAGAGAGAGAGAGAGAGAGAGCAATGAAAAATTCTTAGGTGAGGATAAAAAATAAAAACGTAAATTCCTGATGTTTCAGCTACCCATGTGGACATTCAGAATCTCTTCTCTGTGGGGACAGTGAGACCACATGGAGGTGTGAATTTCAGGTTTGGAAGCAAATGGCTGGGTGGCTCCACTGATCAGGGAACTACTCAGGATGGACTTAAAATAACCTAAGAGGTAGAAAACAAAGTCTAGACCATTTTCCCTCTCCCCTCAGGAACGTGGACCCCAGCAGGCCACCCCCCCAGCACTCACTGCCCCCTCGAATGTTGATGATGAGGCTCCCATTGATGACAGTGCAGCCTCGGAGCTCCTGGGCAGACGTCACTGAGTCAATGGTCTTCTCGCCTTCTAGGAGGTGACAGACCTTAGGACAGGGGCCCAGACACGGACTGCACATCAAGCTGAGTAAAAAGTGGAAAGAGAGGAGTCAGGGGTCTAGACACACAGACAGCATGTTGTACAGGGTCCCAAGAAACACGAGACTGCCACCATCAGCCTAAAGCAGGTACTACACCCATAGCACCATTAACATCTGGGGCCTGAGAATGCTCCATTGTGGGGCTGTCCTGTGCATTATGTTACATGTGTTACGCAGCATCCCTGGGCTTCACCCACTGATTCCCAATTCCACACACCCTCAAAGAATGACCACCAAAAATGTCTCCAGACTTGTCCCCTGGAGGGAGGAGGGCGACTGGCCCCAGGTAAAAACCACTGTCTACAACAACAGACTCATCCTGTTTCTCCACAGCAGTGGGTCCTGCAGCACTGCCCATGGTACCAATGCTTCCTCCCCAATATGACAGGGCTTCTGCTGTGCTCCAGACTGACAGGGTTCACACCATGCCCCATAGGGAAAGAAATATCTTCTACCCTGTGGAAACAGGACTCCCACTAGCACACTGAATTGATGGGACTCCCTGGAGTTACCATGGTGATGGAATGATATCGAGCTGATGGGCCTTACATGGGACTCACTTCGCTACTGTGCCAAAGAGGCAGAACTGCTGCAGTCACCCGAGGGTGGTAGAACTTAGGCTGTCACTCTCAGATAGCTTGTCTGTTCTGTGAGGGGTTTGCCATAACTGTGGTTAAAACAGGGCCTCATGTCTGATGAAGGATGACTGGGAGCAGACTTTGGCTTCACCTGCCTGCAGGCTGATGTCCTCAACTCTATAGCTCCCAGGAGTCCTTTGGGAACCCTCCCCAAATGGGGTCTCTGTGTCAATTGGCTGTTGCTGGCACAGCTCTCCTGGGTCCAGGCAGGACACAGGATCCAGGTTGGGCTGGGCACCACTCTCCATCTCAAGGGCTCAGACACACCAAGTCAATGTAGCCAGCTTTTTGCTAGAGCTTCCTGGAAGGAGACATTGTCCTCCTTCTGGGGTATCTACAAAAATATTGCTATATTGTTAGCATGGGGCAAGAAGTTGGGGAGAGGTTGCCTGAGAACAAAACCAATGGAGAGAGAAATAAAACCAAGGACAGAAAAGAAAGTGATTGTGTATATCACACACTCCTGGTTACAGCTGTACCTGAAGCCATTCCCTGAACTTTTTGGTTACATGCACCAATAAACTCCTTTAATCTTGCTTCAGCAGCTTGAGTTGGGGTTTGGTTACACACAACCTCAAGAATACCAACTGCTAATTTCTCAAAGTCTCAGTTTCCTCATCTGTGAAGTGGAGAGAATGACAATATCTACCCTCGAGATGTAGACTATGTGATATATACCACCCAAAGCACTTGGTACATAGAAAAGAAAATGTACTTGTCATTGCTACGGTGATCACTTTTTATCAGGGGTTTCATTGTCACTGTTATTTCCACATGCCTGTGGAAATCCACATGCCTGTGCATTCCAATTCTTCAGAATGATCTTGAGATGGTGGTAAAATAAAGAACATAGCTGGTCTTTGTCCCAGGTCCCGGCACAGAGCTTCAAAAGCTCTTGGAATTTCCTGAGTGCTAGCAGCATCTGTGTTATGCTAACAAAGTGGCCTGTGGTGGCCCCTACATAACTTTAGGATGGAGCTGGTCACCAGAAAGACCAACTACATGATTGGAGGGTTGGGTCTTTTAGCCACTTGACTTCAAGAGAGAGGAGGGGGCTGGAGATGGAGTTCCATCATGTGGCCAAGAATTCAATGGATCACAACTATGTAATGAAAACCCATTAAAAACTCAGAGGGCATTTCTGGCTGCTGAACACATCCACATGTTGGGAGGGTGATGCCCCTGGTTCCGGGAAGGCATGGGAGCTCCATGGCAGCGACACTCCCAGACCTCACCCTACGTGCATCCTCAATAACAAAGCTATAATTGTAAGTACATGGTGTACACCTCACACTAAGCTTCCTCGTGCCGAGGCATCCACTTCGGAAGACATCCATCTTGAATAAGCACAATGCCAGTCTTATGACTCAGCTACTAGTAAAACAACCAGATAAGGAATCAAGTTCTTTGTCCATGAAGGTCCCTCGTGCAGAAAGCTGTGGGTCACCTAAATAGCTGACCACTTGGATGGCCCTGTTTCTCTCTTCCTGGACTGCTCTTCCTGATTCCTGCTTTTATGCTTTAAATTTGACAATAAAGTGAGAACCCAGAGATCAACCAATGAACTCATAGATAAGTGGAACAACAAACTGATCTCTCTCGCTCTCTCCTCCCCTTCCTCTTTCTCTAAAATCAATCAATAAATAAAAATTTTTAGTAAAAAAGAGAGAACCCAGGAAACTTTAGACACCTCCCTCAGGCCCTATTAAAGGCTGAGCCCCAGGTCCCTCCCCCTCTCCCCCATCCTTTTCTTCCCACTGTCTCCTCTGTGCCCAAGGCCTGGCTCTTGGGCATACCACGTACCCTCCAGAATCTGTGAGTAATAAATCTGTTTGTCAGAGCTCCCTGAGGTTTCTTTCTGAAGTGCATCCAGGGGTCATAATCAGAACCATGAGAGCTAGCCCAGCCATAAGCAGGGGGCCGGGCAGGGGCGGTGCCTACACAGCTTGCTACAAGCGATATGCGAGTACGGGCATTCCTCACTGAGGGGCCCACCACCAGCAGGCTTGGGACCCACACAGCAACACGGCTTTATTTTAGTTGTCAGTTGTTCTAACAAATCACTGAACACAAGGGCTTGTGGGAGCCCCCAAATTTATAGCCAGTTGACCGGAAGTGTAGGTAGCCTAAGGACCCCAAAGTGTGGCTGGCATCTGAAGTGAGGGCAGTTTTGCAGAGGACAGAACCTGCAACCTGTGGTGTGACACGAAACCAGGAGGCCAGTGTCATGCGACAGTTCAGTGCACCCCGCTGATGTCAGAGCAGCTGAAGTAAAAGCAGAGTTGTAACCAAATGTTTGGGTCCTTTTGCTAACTGTGCAGCTACTGGGTCCTTTTGTTGGCTCTATAACCATTCACCAAACACTTATGATGTGGCAGGTGACACTGTAAGCTAGGGATCCAAAAACTACGGCCCATGTGCCACAGCCAGGGAGCCACCTGTTGCTGTAAATAATGTCACACACAGCCACAGTCACTGGTCCGAGGGTCATCCATGGCTGTCCCCACACCATCAGGGCAGAGTAGCTGCAGCAGAGACCACACGGCCTTCGGAGCTAAGAACATTTTCTCTCTGGCCCATTGTCAGTGCCTACTCTAAGCCACAGGCACACAAGAGCGAACAAACCTCTGGCTCTCCTTGTGTCCCTGGGACATGACCAACAGGCACGTGTTCTTTTCAGCCTTCCCATCAAGAAGCAGGACCTGTTTCTTCATCCAGTGAATCTGGGCTTGGCCAGATGTACTGTTTTGGCTGATGGGATATTAGCAAATGTGTTGCCAGCACAGAGGCTTGAAAAGTACTTGCACATTGGAGTATGTCCTTCCTCACTATCAGGATAAGAAACCACATGGAGAGAGGCTATCCGATGCCATAGGTCAGGGCTGACCCTGACCATGCCAGACAAACCACCCGTCAACCATCAGAAATCATAAATGAGTGCTGGGCTGGTCTGCTCTGCAGGAGGAGCTAACTGATACCCTTGGAAAGTGTATGGTGGAGCTGGGGAACATTGATAAACTGACAATTACAATACTAGCTAATGGTAGATGCCATAAAAAGAGTTAAAACTGGGTAATGTGCCAAAGAGCAACTAGATGGCTAATTCCAACAAGGTGGTCAGACAGGGCAGAACTCTCAGAGGAAGTGACTTGCAAGCTGTGAGTTGGATGACAAGGAGAAGCCAGTCAGGCAAAGATCAAGGGGCAGAACATTCTAGGGGGAGGGAATGGGAAAACCCTGCACCTGCCACACACTGAAAATTCGCCCCAAATACAGAGTCCTCCTCATCTCAGTTAAGACCACGCCCTGCTCTCCCCAGGTGTCTGGGAACGACCCCGTGATTCCACGTGACTTCACGTGATTCCACATGTGCCCCAAATCTCTGCTCCGAAAACACCAAGAACCATTTCCTACATTGGCCACAGGAACGGAAAAGCGCATACCTGGTCCTATTTAATACCAAATCACACCAGAGAATGTACCAGAGCTGACGTCTTTCATAAAATAAAGTAAGTTTCAAATGGAAAATATTATTTTTTAATAAACCTTCCAAGTAAAATTGTGCTATAATGAGTCTTAATAAGCAACGCTCACTTCGCCCTCTCTCAGCAAAGGTGATCAGCATCGCTGGACGCGCATCCATTCCCCGGGGCTTGCGTTTCAGGCCCCCACGCCACCTGGAGAACATCGAAGGGGGTTGCTCTCCTTCTCAGGTCTGTTATGGGGAATCTTGTATTTAAAGTCAATGTCTTTTAAACAAACATCTTATCAGAAGATGTTAATAAGAAACAAACAGAAAATGAATCAAAATGAAATAGTCATTTCCCCAACCTTACTGATAAACTAGCCCCCCAAAAGAAAAAAAAGCAGCTCTCTCTGGCATGCAAAGTGATTTATAGTCACCTATTTTTGGTCAACAAAGCCACAGGACAGGTTTTTGTCAAAAACTAATAAAACACAGTGTACTTGTAGGTTTCACAAACACTCGAAAACAGGTTCGTAAGCACTGAAATGAAAGCTGTCTTCCGTGCCCTCCCTGCCCAGGAAAACAAAATTGCCCACCAGAACACTCTCTTTGGCTAGTTCTCAAGTCTGAAGAGGAGGATTTTTTACGTAAGCAGGTCAGCTCAAGGCCCCTTGGCTTGAGTCTGTTTCTAATTTGTTTTTGTGGAGGCTTTTTTTCAAACCCACAACACAAAAACCAGGAAACAGATTTTTTTATACTTGGTCACAGCCCTAAGAAACCAAAATAGCTCATCTAAGAAGCTAACAACATGAACAAAAAGTCTGCAATATGTGTACGCCTTCTGACTTGCAGCAAAGAAAGAAAAGCTGCTCTTTTCCACCCAAACGGTAGGAAATGGTTTCATGGCGCTTTGCTTCAAAGCCCAACAAAGCCCAGGGATGAGTCTCTCCCGTCTTGTGCTGTGGGCTGACCTCAGCATGCTGTCCAGATCCAGATCAGAAGAAACAAAAAAACCTGCGCCCGTTTTGGGTGTAATAGCCAGGAAGTCCCAATGGTGGAGACGGTCCCATAAATGTGAAGGACACCACAGGAAGCCAAGGACTTCTGTCTGTACGCCTTGTATTCCCAGAGCCCACCACAGAGCTTTAAAAGTCATGTGCAAGATCCCAAAATACTTACTCTCCGGCTCTTCACAGAGACAGTTTGTCAACTCATTCTGCAAAGGCTGAAACAGGAGGCAGACACAGCATGCAGGAGACCCAAGCCCACCCCAGTCATCACAGCCACAGAGTCCGGCCTGCCACAGCTTTAACAGGGGCACCACCATCACCAACCCAGGTTCCTTCCCATCTTTGTTGCTCCCACCCCCAGAACCCACACCCAGAACTCACTTGCTGGAATTCATCGTGTAGCCAGAGGGACACTCAGGGATGCACTTGTTATTATGAATGACATACTGGTGGCAGCCTGGCCTCCTCGAGTTCTTGCATGTGTTGTGCAGGTCCTGGCAGAAGCTGAAGTTCACACAGCGCCAGTCTTGGAAGTGATAGTATGGAGGCGGACAGGTCTCCACACACCTGCCATCCAGGTAGAAGTTGCGGCAGGCCACACACTTGGTGGGGTCGTCGGGCTCGGAGCAGTTGCCCAGGCACTCGCTATGGCAGCAGAGGCCCTCGGCAGTGCAGCCGTGTGACTTACAGACGGTCGGGCAGACTGCAGAGAGGGAGGAAACAGCAGGTCAGTGGCTTGCCCAGCTCCTGTCCGCACGGACAGCAGTGCTGGATCAGGGAGTGCGAGCCAAGCCAAATAATAACAGCAGTCTCACCTCCACAGCAAGCACCGCTCCTCAGGCACAAAACTGTTAACAAAAGCATGAACTCATTCAAGTCCCCACGCCAGTGGTGTGCTTTAAATGTTTAGCAACCACTTCAAAGAGGGGGACAGAGCGGGGACAGAGAGAGGGACAGAGAGCGGGACAGAGAGGGGGACAAAAAGGGGGACAGAGAGGCTCTGACTTGTGCCATTGGCCAATTTCCATGGTGTAAACACCCCCAACCTAAGTGACTGAGCACAGAGCCGGTAAGATACATGGTACTGCAGCATAAACAGAATCTCCACCATAAAGATACAATAGCAACAAATAACCTCAAAAGCATAAATAAGGTTGTCCGCCGTTATTGTGAGGGATTCATTCCAAGACCACCAGTGGATGCCTGAAATCTTCAATAGTGCCCAATCATACACATACGATGTGTTTTCCTGTGCATACACACTGATGGTAAAGTTTGATTTATTAATCAGGCACAGCAAGAGATTAACAACAGTAACAAATAAAAGAGAACGATTACGACAATCTATCGCAGTTAAGAGTTGTGTGGGTGTGGCTTCATGCAGTAAATCAGGGTCACTTCAGCGTGAGTGCTGTGACGCCACAACAGCTGATCTGGTGACGGGGGTGCTGCTGAGCGACTACTGAGCAGGGACCGTGTGGGTCCCCGGTGGCGGGTACCGTGTGTGTCCCTGGTGGAGATGCTGAGACACTGAGCAAAGGGACCTGTCACGTCTTGGGAGGGACTGAAAAGGCCGGCAGGAGATTTCACGCTGTCCAGAACAGTGAACAATATAAGACTTATGAAATGCTTGATTCTGGAATTTTCCATAATGTTTTCGGACCCCAGGTCACCGAAAACAGGGAAAGAGAAACCGAGGGTGAAAAGGGACTATGTACAGAAGACCAGAGCAAGGATGTCAGGGTGCAGGGAGTTTTCAGTATTTATTTATTACCTTTGTTTTTAACATAACTTTATTCATTGTAAGCTCATGTTATTTAAATTTTAATAAAGGCTTGTTTAACAACTGGTTCATAAGTTTCCTGAAAACCGAATCATTGGCTTCAGCAAGTCAGGTCCAACACACATCTGCAGTGCTGGTATAAACAGATGTATTATTGTCTCCATTTTCTCCATTTTACACATGGGGAAACTGAGGCACACCCTCAGAAGGCTAATAAGTAAATTGCCCAATGGTCACTTATTGCTTCAACAGATGTGCTCACACTGATCTGGACACTGCAGTCACTGCAGGGCTACAGACCCCACCTGAGGAGTGCCGTCTCATGGTGCAGGCACATGAGTTCTTCAAACACACACACGTGCAACTGGGTACACAGCATATACCGGCTGGAAGTGAGGAGGTGATGTTCCTGCTGCAGCCAGAAGGAGGTAACGGATGGGCAGGAAAGAGAGGGCCCTGTGGATGGCGGCAGAGCGTGGGTTTTGTGGCCGGAGGACATTTCTCATTTCATGCAACTTGTCCATGGAAGGCTGAACTCTATTTGGGTTTTTTTAAAGATTTTATTTATTTATTTATTTATTTATTTATTTATTTATTTATTTTAGAGAGGGGGAGAGGGAGAGAAACACTGATGCAAGAGAGAAACACATGATCACTTGCCCCTTGAACACGCCCTGACTGCAACCAAACCTGCACCCCAAGCATGTGCCCTGACGGGAATGGAACTGGCTACCCTTCACTTCATGACCACGCCTAACCAACTGAGCCTCACCAACCAGAGCAGAAGGCTGTAGTCTTTCCTGGCTTCCTCTAGCAGCTTCTTACACATCCTCTTCTTCCCCGCGTCTCACGACTCATCGCTTCCTAATTACCCCTTGATTTTGGTCCCTTGGCATCTGGCCTGGGCCACAATGACCAGCCCTCCCTTCCCAGATGGTCATGGGTAGATGGCTTCTCTATGGCTGGACAGACCTCAGCCACAGCAGAGCCCATCCTCAGAGGCGCTTTCTCCATTCGCTCCCACATGGCCTGAAGCATGACCTGGACACTGCAGTGTGTCATTTGCTCCAAATCCTCAGGCTTTTTGATGGCTGCAGCGAACGGCCCAAGTCGACCCCAGTAACCAGACGCAAGGAACACAAGTGTCCCCTGAAGCCACTTTCACATATGAGCAGCACAGTCTGACAGAACTTTCTGCAACAGAAATGTCCTGTCTGTGCACTGCCTGTCCAACATGAGAGCTACTTCTCCCCTGTGGCTGTCTGTTGACTGTGGTTAATGCAACAAGAAATCTTATTTTTTTAACAAAATACACATGTCATAAAATTTACCATCCTATACATTTTAAGCATTCAGTTCAGTGGCACTAAGCACATTCACATTATCAGGCGACTATCCCCACCGTCTGCTTCCAGGACTTTCTCATCCTCCCAAACTGAAACTCTGCCTCCATCATACACTCACTCCCCATCCTCCTCCCCAGCCTCCCCCTCCCCCCACCATCTCCTCTCTGTTTCTATGGGTCTGACTCCTCCAGGGCCTTCCTGTGAGGGGACTCACACAGCCTTCCTCTATCTGTGACTGATGTATTTCACTGAGTATAATGTACTCAGGGTCCATCGTGTGTTAAAATTTCCTTCCTTTTAAGGCTGAATAATATTCTGTTGTGCAGATGGACCAGGTTGTGTTTATCCATCTTCTGCCCATGGATGCTTAGGTTGCATCCACTGTTTGGCCATTACAAACAACGCTGCTGTGAGCATGGGTGTGCCAATATTTCTTCACAACTCTGCTTTCGATTCTTTTGTGTACCTGCCCAGAAGCAGAATTGTTGAATCATATGGTGATTCCATTTTTAATTTTTTGAGGAACCACCATGCTGTTTTCCACAGTGGCTGCAGCATTTTACATTCCTGCCAAGAATGTACACAGGTTCCAATTTCTACTAAGAAACCAAAATTTTAATTGTATTTCAATCTTAATTTTTATGGCCACTGGCTCTTGCACTGGAGAGCAGAGGCTTAGAGAATAAAAATAAACTTGCCAAGGCCAAGAAGTGTCATGTGGTCTGGGGCCTGCCAGCCTCTCCGAGGCCTCCCAGCCTCAGGCGACAGCCACTCTGGCCTCTGGCCTGCCCCACCTGTACCTGGGAGCTTTGCCTGCAGGTTCTATCTACAGGGAAGTTTCGGGGGTGGGGCTGTGTCTGCACCATTCACTGCACTGGCCCCTCCGTACACCTGGCTGGAGCTCAGTGGATACATGTCCACTTAAATACAGAGGAGGCAAAGGAAGGGATTTGGAAGAGTTCCAAGTTCCCAACTTTGAGTTTATGGCTCAAGAATTACTGCAAGAACTCCCAGCTTCAGGAGCTCCACAAACATCCTTATAAACCACATGCAAAATCTGACGCACCTACACATAGGTGCCTATTATGATTTTCTCGACAGATCCAGAAAGAATTAAGGAGCAGGATGGGGGTTAACCTACCAATGTCTGTGTAGCTTTTTATAGGGTTCATATACCACCCATAAGCGCTTTACTCACTTCTAAACAAAGACCCCAGCGAAGAGGCTCCATTTCACAGAGGCAAGGAAATTGGCTCAGTTGAACTACAGTGGAGCTCAAACTGGAGCCTTGCCATCTTGGCTCTGAACCTCACGTTTCTGGGTCTACAGGATAGCCAAGTCAACCTCAGAGCCCATGCAGCCCAGGGGGAAGAGTGATTGACTTTAGTGATGTAGCACCTGATGTCCCACCAGAACCCCATAAAGGTTTCTTCAAAGAACCAACAGCAGCCTTGGTTTTCCTGACTGTAAAATGGGGATAATAACAACAGTGCCTTAACTCCTTCTGGTAACTAAATGAGGTGATGTGAGTAAAGCACTGGATTCCTTGACAGACACACTGTAGGTGTAGTATCAGTTAGCTACCATGGGTATTATTGTTACTATTATCATCGTCATTCTTAAGAGTCTGTCTGCAGGGATACAAGCTGAAACCCAACGGCAGGAAACAATATGAGGCAGATAACAACACTCAAGGACCCACACAAACTTCACCCCCGGGGAGGGCCCATTAAGGGCAGGAAGGGCCTGTTTCCTGGGCTGGGGCTGCATCTGAGGGTCAGGCCTTAACTTCAGAGGAGGCATCATCAAAGACCTAACAAAAACTTCCTGACACATAACCCTTCCAGACCAGACAATGCTAAGAAAACGATGCAACACCAGCAAACAGGCCAAAGGCTGACCACGGGACTTTTCATATCTCACACTGAAGCCCCGACTAAAAAGCCTATCCGAGAATTATTTCATTCTTCTGCACGGGAGCTGGCAAACTTTTTCTACAGAGGATCACACAGCAAATTTTGGGCCATATGGTCTTCGCTGCAACTCGTCCACTCTGTGGCTGTAGCCTGAATGCAGCCCCACGCCCACTGTGTCCAATAAAACTTTATTTACAGAAGCAGTTGCCAACCCTTTACCCAATGAGACGTACCTGTGGTTGAATTACTATTTCTATGAGGGCCTCGACTCCAGGAAGCCATATGCCACCTTACAGACAGATCTGCTGTAAGTCATTTCACCCAACAGAAGAGATAACCTCCCGAAAAAGGCAGTTTTATTGCCCACAGGATACTAAGCAACCCACATCTAACTCTGCAACTCCATTCCAGTGATCGCAAATGCTTTGGCTTTACCACCCTGCCCCTCACTAAAGGGTTTTTTAAAAAACGACAGGTGATCTTTCCTGCTTTCTGTTTTTTTTTTTGTTTTGTTTTGTTTTGTTTTGTTTTGTTTTGCCTAAGTGCTGCTTTTAACTTTAGGAGAAAGTTAAACTTGGATAACGATAGACTAGCTCTGTGTGTCTCTCCCACTCCATTTCCAAGTACTTTATCTTATTCAATAAAATGCCACTCAGGG